AGAAAGAAAGAAAGAAAGAGGGAGGGAGGGAGGGAGGGAGGGAGGAGCGAGCATGCAAGCAAATGGGACATCTACTGCGAGAAAAAATCTAAATGAGATACCAGACAAAGGCCACAGATCAAGGAAAGACAGAATGATCTTCGACACTAAAAGCCACATCACACGCCATTAGGTAAAGTCCATACAAACGTTCAGGGACAATCATAAAAAATTGGGGTCCCCAACATTTCCCCTTCCTTGCCTTCTTTTTGCATTTTTAAGTTATTTTGCAGATAAATGTGACTGCTGGCAAAATGAAGGAAGGACTTCCTGTGCCCTCTTCTATTGCCAATAGTGCTTTGGGCCCCAGATGGGCCCCAGATACATCCCTTGGAAAGGAAAGCAGAAGGTGACACCTCAATGCATCATTCTGAGAATGCACAACCATCTAGAAAAGAGGAAAGTTAAGTTGGAGGAAATCCGAGTCAAAGATCACGAGGGGAACAGAGGTGTAGGGTGTCATTAGCTGATTGATTTGTTGGCTGGCTTGCTTTGGTACAAGCTGTGCTTTGCTTGGATTTATCTTGTCTGTTGCATATGCTGCACAATTCTGTATTGTGTGCATTTGGTCTATTTTGTAGGTATTTTTCAGCATCACAATCTTAACTTCGCAGAAATATCTGTTATGCTTTGTAGAGGCTAATATGACCTCTTCATTAGGCAATACCAATTTGTACTCCGCGTGTTTTGTGATTGCTGTTTTGAGAATGGGCAGGTCTTGCAGATGGTAGCCATTTTATGAACACGCTCACAGCCCTCTCAAAATGTCCCTTGGTTTAAAATGCTATGGACTCTTGATCTAAGACAAACTTCAGAGGAACCACATGCTGAATTAAAACTCTTAACACATCTCTGAAATTGCAAATCCTGTGTGGCTATCTAGAAGCTCTATAGTAAATGAAGCCAAAACGACCTATGTTCCAGTTTCACTATATAAAATTCAGTACGGCTATCAGCTTAATGTTAAAAAACCCTTCTGATCAGTTGCTGTCAACAGTACATAAGGATGACAAGCAACAGTGCACCTGGGGTTTAAGAAAAATAAAATACATAACACTTTTAACCTTTTGTAGCAAGTGTCCCTTGTTTTGATAAAAGAGATGGATAGCCCTGTCAGATTTCAAGCCAGCGGACACACAGCTTTTTATTTAATATGTACACATTAAAGGTGCCATTTTATTACCTAAAATGACTTATACAGTAGACATTAAAAAGTTATTTTCCGACAATAGCTTTATCTCCAAGTAAAAAAATGTGTCAGGTTTAATCTTCCCAAGCAGGTCTACATTAAATTCTTTTTCCTCTTTGGAAACAGATAAGCAGTAGAAAATGGATAGCTCAAGTAATTAATTAATCTTAAACTTTTTATGAGTAAAGAATTGCTGTAACTCTTAAGAGTAGGAAGATTAACCTTTGTCAGCCTGAAGAAAGTTCTTCAGTGGTTAGGGACAACAAAGGACCCTGTGCTATTCTTGAGAAAAGCCCACATGAAAAGTAAGTGGAAGAGTTCATTTCACAAAAGGCTTTGCATAAGGGCTACCCTATCAGGGCTGCAGAAACCTAGACGACCTCTAGATGGCAGCAAAGACGTAGAATTTCTATAGTTCTGTTGTGCCCTCTGTTGGTTGCTCCATTTTTCGCAGATGATTTGATTGCCTTTGCTTTGTTTATCTTACATCTTCAGGCACTATCACTAGAGTGAAAGGCCAAAAGGAAAAGATTCCTCCATGGCCAACCAAATTGGATTCCAGCCCTACAAAAGAACCTTTAAGATAATGTTTCATTTCAAGGTGAGTAAGCAAACAAGTACAACTACTACAAAACCGTGCAGGTTTGTTTGAAATGTTTGGGGCTGCTTGCCGTAACCAACAAGTTAGGTGGACTGGGTCTGACTAAGAGAAGGCGCTTTACCATCATTCTAGTGTAGAGCACAGGATCCTTTTCCTGAGAAACCATGTGAAATTGTCAAATTTATGAAAAAGGCTGCATTCTGAAAGATACTGTATCTAATACAAAGATATCTAAGACAAGTGGTACTATTTCTGACATGGAATGTGACATCAATCAGCAACAGAGATATTAGAAAAACGGGTAAGTGTGCTGCAGCAGCTTGTGCAATGCACACAAATTGTAATCTAAATTCACAGTATTTCTGGCCCCTCAAAAACGCCTTTGGATGCCCATACTTATCTCATAAAGACATCATGAGGAAGCAGGTGTGTACCAAATAAGGAAAGGCTGCTACCGTAATGGAAAAAGACCCTAATAATTTGATTTTAAAAATCTATGATGAAGAATTTATTTTATTCAAGGACCCCACTTTGTTAAAACAAAAAACAAAAACATAAATACAGTAGTCAAAGAATCCCTCAATCAGTCAAGTAGACCAGCCAACAAATTCAATTGCCCCTTTCATGTTAAAAATGACAGGAGATTTAACCACTTCATATTACAACGAAATCTGAATGACGGAAATTCTTCAAATCTATGAACTGCAATTGTTTGAATTCTAAAGCAAGTTTACTTGAACACTTTTTGTTCCTTCCTCTTTTCCGTAGTTATCTAAGCCTCCAAAAAGTCTTATGAGATGACTTACCCATCTAAGCTATGTGAGAGGACAAACAAAAATAGAGTAAGGATACCGCCTAATTGGATTGATTCTATCTTACAGATCCCCATCCCCACCCCCACATCACATGCCACATGGCCATGAGAAGCCCAACAATCTTCTAGAGAGGTTTTGGGGGAGGGCTGTGTATGGCTGGAGAGGAAAGGCGGTAACACTTTTTTTCCCCATTAACTTCCTTATGTTAATTTAGGATCAAAGTTCCTGAATCTTGGAGAAATGAGTGACCTCTGAGATTAAGTATTATAAAATATGGTCCAACAGATCATCTATTATCATGACAAATTACTGTTACTTAAGGCATCCTCCAGCATAAATTTCATTGCTCTAGACTTTTGAATGTTGGCCCCATGTTTCACCCTTCCATTAAAATGCATGGAGTTGAACCATGATCACTTTTAGTTAAATACTGTTCTCATGTGCATCTCTCTCAAAGGCAAACAGCAACACATGTTGCTTACATGCTTTGCTACTGGCTTTCTGGAAGCATCAGAGGAGGTACTGCTGGAAATGGGAAACTGAACTTGCTAGACCCTTAATCTCATCCATCAAGGCTGCTCTTAAGCATTAAACAGAAGAAAGTTGAGGAAAATGCCATCTGAGGGAAAGGACTATTGGACAAAAGATTATTAGTAGTCGTTCCTCAGAATTCAGATACAAATCTATTTTCTCCTATTTCCTGGATTTCAGTAAAAAGGTTATTTAAAGCAAAATGACTTCTTGTATAATCAGGTAATTTGGGGAAGAACCAGATGAAGCACCATGGACAGAGTTCTACTCTGGTAAAATTCTGAAAGCATTTTCTGATAGGACAGGCACTCTACCTGTTGAAGTTAATATCTGGATAGCTTGAATATTCTGATTTCATCTTGGCATTGCGCCGCGGAAAAGTGCAGAAGAAGGCATTTGCTAGCAAACTTGCAGTCTGCTCCTGCGACATTGTGATGGAGTGGTTCATTTTTTGTTTTAGAAGAGGTATTGGCTAAAAAAAGACAGAAAGACGGGCATAATTACTGTAGCAATTCAGAACATAAACCACCACTCAGCAACAAGAACCTAGTAGAACAAAATTACATTTGCTAATTTAGAGGCACTGGTGGCTTCTTAAATCAGCATCACCACTGAAGTCAAGAGCTGTTTATCCAAGTTGATTGGGACAAGAGTCTTGTTTGACAAACTGCAGATTTTAATCAATAACAACAAGAAGAGCAAACAAAACATCACTATCCTGAACAAAATAAAGCATACATGGGGAAACAGGTGGAATACGAGGAACCTAGGAAGAAAAACAAAGCATGAAGAGATTGCATTAACTGTATTTAGCAGTCTCACTGTCACAGAGTTTGGAAAAGGGCAATCACAAGTAATCACATCGTAACAGCTGGGAGACAAGGCTCCATGATGAGACACCAAACAAAACAACTATGATAGAGGAACTGAAGTATTCCTTTGTTTGATTACCTTGTCTAAATGAAAAAGAAAATTATGTTTCAAGAAAAAAAATTACAAACCAACGAGCTTCCACTCAAACATTATTATTGCCTGGTTATTTTACAAATTAGTTTAACCTCTATAGAATATACAGTCAGCAGCATCAAAAGAGGGGATAATCTAAGGTCATTTTGTGCAGCTCCTTGAAAATAAATTGTTAAAAAATACAAGCAGAAGTCACTTTTAAGAATGTGATGACAGCTAGCAGAAGTCTGGAAGACCTGCAGATCTGTAAAATGTGATGGTATCCTTAGTTAAAAATTCTCTTTTCTAAATTTATGAGAAAAGATCTTTTGTTTACTGTGGTTCTTTGCATTCATAAATAAGGATTTTGTGATTACACAAACCCTGGTTCATAGCGCCACAGATCTAAGAGATTAACCAGAGACTGCTGGTTACCTCCAGTAATCATACTGAAAAACCTATGAATTTCCTAAGATCCACGGAAATGGGTCTTTTTCTCTTTGGAAAAGCAAACAGATGTCAAGCAAGCACCTACAGGACAGCTAGAATATGAGCTGTATTAGTGCACAAACAACCAGTTGAAGAGCCATAGTTACAGGTGAGCAACCTGCTTTTCTTCATGGTTTCTCCACGTCACTGATTTAACTGGAGTGAAAATGTTCCCACGTAGAAGATTGCTGCACTCCTTTCCCCAACAGAGAATGTGAAACACACTGGAAGGAATTCATAAACATCAAGGACATGAATTTGTTGTACCCAGATAGATCATTGCTATAGTATTGCTACTCCCAGGTGGAACCATGACTGTGGTATTATTATCATGATGGATATTGCGAGCCAGTACTGAAAACTTGAAATTGATTTGCTAGAGGTAGAAGGGCAATGTCCTGTTCTCCAAAAAGTTGAAGCAAGGATACTTTCATACCACTTTCCAATGATTTGTAGAAGCAAAGAAGCTCAGGAAGCACTATTTTCATGGGAAATCAACACATCATGCTTTTTATACAACCACACTAATTTGCTACTTTCATACATATAGTTTTCGGTCAGGAGAAAGGAATCCTCACAAATGCTATCCTTTTACAACTAAGCATCTATGGGACAAGATTTTAGGACATAGGATCCACATATCTGGGTTAGCCTTGTGGCCATCATGATCTTGCCACAATCCTAAGTCAGAAAAACAGGGTATTGCTGCTACTAATATAGTTTTGTTCCTGCTCAGGACTTCTTTCTGCAACTCTCCTGCAAACTCTCCCACACATGCCCAATAGAAGAAAGTTCCATCATATTTTCCTGTAACAACTGAATCTGAAAGGTAAAATCAGGTTAAGAAACCTGGATTGCTAAGAGATTGCTACTGGTTTGCAAACATGGTCACGGGCTGCCCTTGAACAAAAACAAGTCAGGCACAAGAGTGCTCTTGGTGGGAAAGAAGCTATTACTCCTGTTCAAATAAACAATGATTTGCTAGAAAAAAAAGTGTTAGTTTAAACCTGATCCCCAGTCCACCTTTGGACATTTCCTCCAAAAAAGTCAATGCTACCCTTGCAAATGACATTTGTGCTGTGATTCTATGCTTCCCTTTAGGTTTAATAAAAAACTTATCCTCCCTCACAAAGTAGATGAAAAAACGTTTATTTTGTAACCCTAAAACAATGTCCAGTTGCAGGACTGCTTAGCAACAAAACACTCATAAAATACATAATTTATGTGGTTCTCAAATTGTGTTGTTAGATTTATTTTTTTTGTCTATGACAAAGTCCTTCCAAACAGCTGAGTAATAAAAAAAAACTAAAATAATTCAATTTTCTTTTCCTGAGGATACCCTTATTTGCATAAAACTCTGCTTAATTCTCGAGAAGAAAAACTTTCAAAGAATAGGCAGCTGGGACTGCAAATGCATTCCGATCTGAGTAATCTCCCTGATTTCAGCTGAAAGTCCTTCTTCACATGATCAAACTTCACATTAAATTTCCTCATGAAAAAGGCACTGTACACAAAGACGTATGCTTGAATTGCAAATTAAAATGAAAAAACAAAACAGTTGTATGAAACCGATAAAACTGTATCACCAGCTAATGACCCAAAGAACAGTTTTAAACAATAACTATTTCACTGAACAACAGTAATTGTTTTATGCCTTAGTAAAAAAAGAAATCACCTGAAAGTAGCTTGTAAGCTATTTCAACTACTTTTTTCCAAGCAGAAGTCAGATTTTGATACAGAGGTCAAATCAAGTTTCAGAAATGAAAAACAAAGCCTCGAGTGTGTTTTACATTGTTATGGATGGGTATGGTCCTCGTTTTCCCTTGGACCAAAGCTCAACAGCCGAGCTCCATGTAACACAGCCTTGGCATTTTGGCCTCAGTCATTCCTAGTATTATATAGCAAATTAATCCACTCCAGAAAATACCCTTCAGATGTGTCGACTAACCTGGGTGCAAATGCTAGGCAGAGAGAGCGCGAGCTTCACCATGTCAGGCAAAATGGACTGAAAGAGATGCTGAGCTTCGGCATCTTCCAGCACCTGGAGTAAAAACAGAAGAGGGCATTCTCATGTTAGGAGTAGGGTGAACCAGATCAAGCTCTCTGTAGAGCATGTTTAAGGTGACTTGGGAGACATCTTTTAAAAAACCCAAAGTTAATCACAAACTCTGGAGATCTAGATGCAAAAAAAAAAAAGTTATTAATATCCTTAAAAGAACCTGTTGATCATGCCTAAGTGCCTGATTGCTACACATCAAATACAGGCTAAATGTGATATTCGACTCTCCTGTCTTAATAAATCCACATGCTAACAACAAATGTTTATGGAAATCGTTTAAATCTGCATATTTGAGTAATTTCCACATTGCCAGTTGGGTGGGAAAATAGCGTAAAAAGACCTTGTAATGCAGGTCACTGAATTTATTTTAAATTAGTTTAAAATAGAGGGGGATTAGGCTACGCAGAGAGAGAAAGAAAAACAGCCACGACAAAGGAATGAATGAGTGAAAGCAGCTGGCGCACCCTGAGGCCTATTAATCTTGCAGGCCAGCCGTCCAATAGATACCTCCATAAACTCTCAGACGGCAGCAAAAGCCAGCCTCTTTCAAGGGCCCCCTCAGAATTTCTCCCAGCCCAAATGGAGCAATTAGGAGCTTCAAAGCGGCACCAAAGGGTACGTGTGGTGACTGCGCTTTTAAAAGGATTCAAAAACTAAACAAAAATGCGTTTTGTACATGCATCGTGATTCCAGTTAAAACAAGGACTTCTCGCTCCAGCGCTTTTCCCCCTGATCCTGCCAATCCCAAGCTCAGGGAGAGGCAGACGTCCTATGGCAACGTTTTCCTTCCGAGGCTTATTAGACGATACACCGGCAAGCAGAGACTTAGAAGTGGTAAGAACAGGAACTCTGCATTCCGTAGCATCGAAAAAAGTCTGTCAGAATTTCACAGACGTTGTAAAAAAGAGGAGAGAGGAAAAAAATTACTAAGAAAAATCATAGTTCTTAAAACGACTGAAAGCTCAAACCAAACTCAGAGATTAGATCTAGATTTGGTCATGCCTTGAACAGGCCAGCTGAGATTAATGGGACTTAATTTATGATTAATTTCTATAGATATATTTTAGCACGGTGAAAGAGATTTAATTTATCATATCTTTAACAAAACATGAAAGATACACTGAAAATCATTAATCACGCTCAACTACAAGAATAGAACAATTTGCACACACTAGAAAAACTTAACATGTAACCAATGACGTAATCAAACACAGACCTTTAAATTACTACAAAGGGACCCCTGCATTGTTTAGCACCCATGGGAATCTTCTTCGGGGATGAACTAAATTTTGAAAGTTTCTGAAGCAAAACCTTTCCATTTTTCATTACATGATGAATGTTCTTCTATGGCAATCATGTATTTAGAAATGTTGGTTATACAAATTGCTGCAAAATGAGGGTCTTAAAACGTTAACATCTTTACTTGTGGGAGGCAATATACCTCCCACATGCACCGCATTCCCAAGTAGTGATGTATACAAAAGCTAAAGGCTGAATTTGGATTTCAGGAAGCAACGTCAAACAAGTGCATATAACATTAATTCAAAGGAAGACATTTAACCTTAAGCATCCAGAAGACTGTCAGATCCTGATCATTCTTCTACTCTGGCGAGTGCCTCCTGTCTTTTAAAACTGACATATGATGCTTTTCTGACTGCCACATATTCCAGAGCCTCCCTCGCCTGATGACAGATTCTGGCACTGGACTTTGTTACATCTGTCAGCTCTTCTACCTTTTCCTGATGCAGCTCTGAGAGTAAACAGACAAGCAGCAGCAAAGACTGTTTCCTTCAGGCTGAACTGTAATGAGTTCAGAGCTGTACTGCATCTGCTCTGGTTAGGTAACACTTTCCTTTTCAAACAATTCTTTTTACTTGGGATTTCATCTATTCATTTGCGATAAGCAACTGCCCGAGCTGGCAAACCCTTTGGCTCAGAAATAAATGCATTTTGTTGGTAAAATCCAGAAACTTTCAGAATATGCAAATGTCTGAGATAGCGTCCAGTTGTCACTTCGGTTAACTAATGTTCCCAATTGTTGAAAAGGATGCGACTGTACTTAATTATTCCTTTCTTCCTTTTTATTTGGCTTTTCTTTCAAGAGGAAAAGACAAGAGGCATAGCGCTCCTTCTTCCAATCACTCCAGCAATCTGGCCTCTCCCAAAGTCACTCAGCAACTTTCTATGGCTGCGAGTGGACTTGAAGCTGAGTCTGCCGTCCTAGCCCAATGCCTTCCCCACTACACTTACCCCTATTTCGTGTTACAGTCCTCAAAGTCAGCCAAGTCCTCAGTTCTGGCTGAACCCAGTCATGACCAACAAGAGCTCTGAGACGGGGATTCACCTCTCGTTCTTGTTCATGCTTGAATTTGTCTAACAAATAATGCTCTTCTCAGAGGCATTCTAGAAAACAGACCTGACATTATCAGTTTTTAGAATCCCAAAGTACTTTCTACTACTTTAATGTAATGACCTCGTGCCATCTTTAAGCAAAACGCTTCATTCAGTAGGTCTAGTAGAGGAAGTTATTGAGATCCTACAGTTTCTTTCAAGGAGCAACAGATCTTATGTTGGTATGTCTGTCAAAGAGCCAGAAGTGGATGGTTTTCTTGGACATCACGATAAACAAACTTACTGTTAACAGAATTAACCTCCACCTCACATTTCTCTAGTAATCTTGTCTAGAGTCACTGGGAGTCAGGCAACATACAAATCCAATAAAAGAAACAAATAAATAGTTTCTATAGCTCAATAATTTAGGTAAATTTATTTATTCAGAGTATTTTTGTGCCACCCATTCCCTCAAGCACTCAGATAGCTTAGAGGAATATAATTAAAACAGCAAAAAATGTAATTTTGACCATGTGTGTGTATAAAATGTAGGAGATAAGACCTGTTTGTTATTATTTCTTGTTATCTAAACAAATTGTTCAGCAATAAATAAGTTAGGGAGTCTTGTTGTCCACAAAACATCCTTACTGTATCATAGTAGTGAACTGGCTGCCTCATTTTTTGAGCAACTAACTTGACATAAAGTTGTACGAGGGTAGAAAACACAGACTTATATCTATCTTCTTTCTTAAAAGATGACAGAAAACTGACAACCCCATTTTTTAAAACTCTCATTTTTAAAATAAATGTTATGTCTCAAGAAAGTTACCTTATTTACACAATGTTGTTTGCCACTCACAATCTGGGTGAATTTTATCAAGTTTAACTCAAACAAACAATTCCTGGGACTTTAGCCCAGTTTCACCCTTAGATTACTCTGGAGGCTAAAGCAAGAATATGCAATCTTTTTTGGGAGGAATGAAAACACCTGACACCCCCCCCCCCAAAGCCTAGGCAAGGAAGGCCAGGACAACCTAAATTTAGTTTAATTTTCCATGCCTTAAAAATTTAATACTTAATACTTTCCAAATTCAGTGCCAATGTTGGGAGAGCTTCTAAAAGTTTTGGAGGAAAATGTAGGTAGGTGAAAGTGGAGGTTTTGTACCCCAGAATTAGAAGACCCAAGATGCTCACAGCATACTGGGGAAAGGGAGAAGGGTTGTCTGTACAAATTACCAGTTTCATGGGAGGAACATTCACACTGTAATGAACAGTACAGCGATGGCTTCATGGTACTATATATTTATCCTTCAAAACACCAAGAGCAAGTGAAAAGTAGAGTAAAATCAGCGTATGGCAAAGTGATGCTGGACGGCCTTTCAATCTAATCCTGAAAAGATCTGAAACTGTTGGCTTACACAGAGTGCTTATTTTTGCTTATATAAATAAAAGTGCATGCTGCCATTTATTGGCCCAACTTTCATCAGAGTTTACTCTGGGCTTTTAAAAATGCACCGCCGCCCCTCCAATTCAGATACTTGAATTCAACTGAGTAGCAGGTTCCTGCCTTTCTCTCCATGTAACTAGTACTCTTGGTAGCATAACTTCCAAATTAAACCAGTTTCTATGTGCCAGAAAATCAACCCTTGCTAACATGTGTAGCAGTTTCTGAGAAAAAGGCCATTCCTAGAAGCACAGATGCAAACAATGCCAAAGAAGGAAAAATGGACAAACACAAAAGAAACTCATATGGCAACAGAGAAGCTCAGTGAAAGGGAGGAAAGAGACAAGGTATGGGAAGCATGCAGGCATGGACATCTTTTCAGCCCCTTAAAGTTCCTGGTTTCAGGAAAGTGGGTAGTGGAAAGAAGAGACTGGCGAGAGCTGGAGTAACTCAGGAATAAGGGGGGCTGATTAGAGTAGTACAGTGGTACCTCTACTTACGAACGCCCCTACTTACGAAATTTTCAAGATACGAGCAGCTCCAGCCCCAAAAATTTACCTCAATGTGCGAACTCCGCCTCGAGATACGGCCATTTTTCCACCCTGACACGTGGTCCGTGGCCATTTTTCTGTCCTGACACGTGGTCTGCGGCCATTTTTCCGCCCCTGACACGTGGCCCACGGGCATTTTGCTGCCCCGCCACGCGCGGGCGTTTTGCTGCCCCGCCGCATGGCGCACGGGCGCTTTTCCGCCTGACGCGTGGGTGTTTTGCCGCCCCGCCCCGCGGGCGCTTTTCCACCCCTGACGCATGGCGCGCGGGCGTTTTGCTGCCCCGCCGCATGGCGCA